GCTTCACCTTCCAAGTGAGAGATGGGAGGAAAAGACAATCCATCTATGAAGTATTTCTCAAGGTAAGTCCCAAACACTAATTAAATATTAAGCGTTTTTCACTCTTTCAACAGATATATATTGTGTTACTCCGTGTACCAGACGCTGTGCTATGAACGTAACTTTGAAAGGGTTCCTGGGGCTTATGGTCTAGGAGGAAGACAGGTATTAAACAGGTAATTTAATGGCACTAATTGCTGAAGAGAATATGCAGGGTCTTATAAAAGGAAAAGGTCAAGAGAATGCGTGGAATTTGGAGAGTGAATAAGTGGAAGAAGCAGTGGTTGGTTTCTAGGGCAAAGAGCTTAGTCTATAGACAAAGATCTAAAAGTGAGAAAGTAGAAAAGGGTTAAATAAATGGGTGAATAAAATTTAATGGGATTATTTATTAAAGAACATCTTAAAACCATTAATATGGTAAGAGAAACTATGAATTTTTAAAAGTGATATACACTAACCACTATTTTCCAAACTATTTTAGGTCTTTTCTTTCTTGTTTGTCTTAGAGAATTTTCAGAGAACCATGTTCCTTGAAGAGAACTGAAGACTGGCCTGGAAGAAGCAGAAGGAAAAAGGAAAAATCTTTTCTTAATTGAAGAAAGTAAGAAAGAAGAAAAACTATGATGGATACAGAATCCCAGGCACCCAACCTCTTTGCCTCCATCCAACACACTCCAGCCCTGAATCTTCTGAAACAAGCCTGTACTGGACACAGAGCCCTTGTGCTGAGGACTTACCAGACCTCCTTTAGAGTCGGGGTGATGGTCCTTTGCTGTAGGAAGCTGCTCATAAGGAGACTCAGGAGAACTGTATACCTAACAGCGCTTCACTGAGGTGAGGAGCTCTTCCGTCTCCCCACCCAGCCAAGTACATCCTATTTCTCAAAGTAGTCACTAAATCAATATTCTTTCTCCAAGAACAACGTATTGTGGGCTTCCCTGGTGGCGCAGTGGTTGAGAGTCCACCTGCCGATGCAGGGGACACAGGTTCGTGCCCCAGTCCAGGAAGACCCCACATGCCGTGGAGCGGCTGGGCCCGTGAGCCATGGCCGCTGAGCCTGCACGTCCGGAGCCTGTGCTCCGCAAGGGGAGAGGCCATAACAGTGAGAGGCCCGCGTACCGCAAAAAAAAAAAAAAAGAATAATGTATTGTTATTCCTATTCTTACACCTTAGGAGTCCAGGGGGTGGGGGATGGGGGAATGTAAATAGTCCTTCATTCACACAACAAAATGTAAAGTACCTGAGAAAATTCTTCTATCATTTTAGCTTGTTTTATCTTTAGACTGCTATCCCTATATTTTCTTTTGATTCATAGCCAAACGCTACTATTTGGGAGTTGATGAGAGCAGAGATCCACTCACAGACAGAACTAATAAGTGACAGGGTTGGGACTGAATTCTAAAGTTCCTGTCATTTGTGTGAATATTTACTACCTTTTACCTCACATGTAATTTGTTCTCCCTTTCTTAGCTCTCTCTCCTATTTCCAGTTGCTGCTCTTCTGTCTGTTCCCTACGTTCCCTTCTCCTCTTTTCTTTTCCTCCCACCCGTGCCTCAAGCCAGCTACAGGGTTATCACAGCTCTTCCTCAATCAGCTTTCAGGAAGCAGACCAGGCCACATAAAGCATTTGTTTAAAGCCCTTCAGATTCTACACAACACTTTATGTTATTTCTCTTTTGCCCTGTAAAAAAGTTCTAGGCCAGCTGAAAGAGACTAGATCTAGAAGCATCTACTCAGTGTGTAACACAGGTGAAAAGTTCCTGGATTTTCTGTTTTGAGAGAACATAAAAGTTTTCAGTGACAGAATACATACTAAAAAGTAAACAATCTTCTTTTTTTTGGTGTTGAAGCTGGGTGATGGGAACGTGGGAGTTCATTATACTATTCTCTCTACTTTTGTGTATGTTGAAAAACATTTTTATAAAAAATCCCTCTCTTCTCTGTAGTTGACATTCAGCAACTGCCTTCTTTTCTTATTCCATATTCTCTACTTAATGCTATGATGAAGAAACGATTTTCAAAATATAGTCTCATGTTGTACACCTTAAATATATACAATTTTCATTTTTCAATTATACCTCAATAAACCTGGAAAAAAGTTTCAAACACAAAGAAAGGTTAATTTCTGAAGTAAATTTCACATGACCCCAAGATTGGGCCAAACTTCCTAAACTACTCTATCAAGACAAAATTACTTGTGTATTTCTCCCTTTTTCATTCTCCCCCTTCTTTTTATGTTACCAACTTTATGCCTACAGGATGTAGGGATGCAGAGAAATAGAAACATGTCTTACAACTATCAGAACTAAAGCACAGTGCTTCTGACTGTAGTGGATTCAATCACATGAAAATGGCTTCATGACTGAGCTGAAACATCACACCTGAATGGTTGTTGATCAGATTTACTCCCCAAGCTTCCTGCTGTCCTAATGGAATGTGGGCAGTCTTATTCAGCCACCCTGTAGGGTGTGCATATGCTACAGGAGTGAAGGGTGTGACATGGCTACTTGGTTCCTGATGACCTCAGGACTCCGAGGTCCCTGTTGGTTTTACATCTCATGAGGGCAACTAAGTTTCCACTGTTACTCATGGTGACACATTTCCCCTTTCACTGTCACCTGCAGCCCACACAGCACCAGATGAAAGGGTGTCTATCATCACTATTGGAGAAACTACTATAACTACTATATATATACTACTATATGTATACTATATATATATATATGTTATAACTACTGTAAACTACTATAATGGCTATAAACTACTATACTATACCTGTCTCCAAGGTAGGCCAATGTTGCCATCTTTCTCGATAAAATGGAATATTGTTAATTATTTCACTAGATACCAAACTACATTTCCTCAATAATTAATAATCTAGGAAATACAGTCAATAACTATGTCATATCTTAGTATGATGACAGACGGTAACTGGACTTATCATGGTGATCGTTTAGAAACACACAGAAATATCAAATCACTATGTTGGGTAACAAGAACTAACACAGTGCTGTAGGTCAATTATACTTCAAAACTAAATAAAGACACAAACAAACTCAAAGAAAAAGAGGTGAGATTTATAGTTACCAGGGGAAGGTGGGTGGGGCATGGGGAGTGGGAAGTGGATGAAGGCCGTCAAAAGGTACATACTTTCAGTTATAAGATAAATATGTACTAGGGATATAATATACAACATGATAAATATAATTAACACTGCGGTGTGATACATATGAAAACTGTTAACAGAGTAAATCCTAAGAGTTCTCATCACAAGGAAAATATATTTATTTTCTACTTCTTTAATTTTGAATCTATATGAGATGACGAATGTTCACTAAACTTATTGTGCTAATCACTTCATGATGCATGTAAGCTAAATCATTATGCTGCATACCTTAAACTTATACAGTGGTATATGTCAGTCATATCTCAATAAAACTGGAAGACAAATTAAAAATAAATAAATAGATAAATAAATTTGCTACATACAAACGGAATGCAAAATTTGGAGCAAATGAAGCAAAAATTCTCTTTCTTTTTAAAGAACTGCTATTGGATAAATAACCCGTTTTTTTCTCTAACCGTTTGACACTTGCTTTCTGCTTGTTTTATCCTTTAAATACAAAATTTTCTGGCCTAGCCATCTTCACAAGTACATGTTCTCAAGGGGCAAGTTCACACTGAAAATAAAAATCATAATACTTGCTAACATGTATTGACATGTACCTGACACTTCACGTTCCAGGCTGTGTTCTACATACTTTATTTGTAGTAGTTCATTTAAACTCATAAATGTGTGAATAGCTGCTGCTTTTATCACAATATTACACTGAGAAATGAATGCACAAAAAGATGAAGTAACTTGGCCAAGGTTTCCAAGTTTTCATCAAATTTAACAGTGGTTCCAATCCCAGCACAGCCTCATCCCTAAACCTTAGCATTTGGACACCAGTTATTTTTCTGGCCTCTCCCCCATAATTTGTTCAATTTTATTTGCATATCTTAGCACATATTTTAAACATGTGGTCCCTGTCTCAGTTACCTTTGTTAGAAACTGAATAAAATCTTAACCTCTATCATCAATGGGGAATATTAAATAAATTACAGTACGTTCCTACTGTGAAATATTATACAGTGATCAAAAAGAACGAGGCATATACAAATACAGTAACATGGAAAGTTGTCCATGACATATTGTTGTGTAAAAAGAGAAGATGATAAAACAAAGGATCCAGGAAACAAATGCCAGACACCTATATATGCCAAAGTATACAGAAAAATATCTGGAAGACTATAGGTCAAACTCAAGAAAAGGACTGGGGAGTGGGGAAATGAGGAAAAGTTATAATGTGATCTTACATGCTTGTGAATTGTTTACTTTTTTATAATGGGTTCATGCCATTTGTATGATGGAAAAAAATAACATTAAACAATGGGCTAACAATATTTGATAATGCCGTTATTTAGCTAGATTTCCCCTCATTATTATTGCATTTTATTTTTCTGAACTTATTTTCCTTTCCTTTCTCCATACACAACCTGGGTGCCAATTATACTGGGCTTTTTCTTTTCTAAACATTTTCTTATGCTTCCACCTCAACCCAGAGTACTTTCTTTTTCTATAATTTTAATCCCTCTAAAGAAAATCATGCACATATTATATTTTGGTACATAATTCATAAAAGGAAGAGTCCAAATATTCAGGAAATTTTCTGCATTTTGAATCAACAAAGTTTAATAAATTAAATATACTATTTCCTGAAGTTTAAAGTTGTAGAAAATGATAAATAGTTTATAAGTTTCTGAATAATTATATTTCTTTGTAAAAAGATGGCTTACTTAAACATAAAGGATATTGTGACAGGTTTGAATGATATGGAGTGGAGTGGAGTGTACACACACAAAAAGAAAAAGACACATTTCATTCTAAAAGTTAAAAAATCAAAAAACAAGTTTCTTACCATTGTGAGAGTAAATGGATGGTTTTCCAATGCAGACACACTGGGACAATGTAGAACAATATACTAAAAAGCAACAAACAATTTTTAAATGACCAGAAAAGAAATCCAAATAGTCTAATGATGCTAATTTTCAAAAAATATGTAATGATAAAGGGTATTTTAAAAGTTTCCGGACACTGACTCACCTGGCCAGGTCTTGCTTTAAAATTTTCTTTGACCATTCGGATTTCCATGACATCTGAGGGATGACTTATGACTGAGATGATGGTGACTGGCTTATTGCTCCGGATACACCTGTAAAGCCGTTCAGCACAATACAGGCACAAAGGTCCAGAAATCCAAAGCCAGGTCTAACGGAGAATTTTTGAAATACACTTTAAGAAACACTTGTATTATAAGAATCTTTATATCCTGCCCAACTGCTTATTTGACACATTCCAGTAATAATACAGTAATAATATATATATATTTTTAGCATTCAATAATAAACATTTATTTCTTGGTAACATATCTGTAGGACAACTGGGGTGTTTGTTCCATGTGTCACATCATAGGACCAAAGCTTGAGGAGCAGTGGCTACCCCAGGTATGCTCTTGCCATGGTGCTGGTAGAAATACAAGAGGACAAGCCCAATCAGACAAGCACACACATCATATCCTCTGCTCACATCACATCCACTAGCATCCCATTGGCCAAAGCAAGTTACATGGCCAAAAATATGGAACGCTTCATGAGTTTGCCTGTCATCCTTGCGCAGGGGCCATGTTAATCTTCTCTGTATCGTTCCAATTTTAGTATACGTGCTGCTGAAGCGAGAACAGTAATAATACTTCAATCAGTATTTTAAATAACAAAGTGTAAAGAAAAATGCGTAAAAAACAACAGATGCTCACTGCAACTTAAACAAGAGTAAAGTATAAAATAAAAGGGGAAGTAATATCAAGACCCTACCTTCTAGCCATTGCTAAGGGTATAGCTACCATTAACAGGTAAGCATACATCGTTTCATATATCCTTCTGTGCACACCAGAAATATATAATGTATATATATATACAATATCTTTATCTAACAAGAGAAGAAAGGGAAGTAAAAGCTCAAATAAATCTGAAGGTGATTTTAACAAAAATGTACCAGTTCAATGTTTGTTAAAAGAATGAGAACCCTAGATATTGTTAATGCACACAATGTATATGCATAATGTACATATACAAAATGTATACCCAATGTAAAATATGTATATGCACATATTTTTAAATATGGGTATACCACATGTGTTGTTCACAACTTTTACGTAATATGAATAACAGATAATATTTACAATTTGGAAAGCATGACAATTTTGCATGTGTGCTGGAGGGATAGCCCTGATCCCAGGATAACTGCATAACCTGTGTAGCCAACCTTTCTCCTACAGCTGCATGCTTTACCTCCCTCAACACCTGGAGGCCTCCAACCCAAACTTATTTTCATGGTCACTTTTTTAAACCTTATTTACAGAGTTATTCCAGAACTATATTCTTCCACGCAAATCATGCCTCTCCCTCACATTTGGTTAGAAACCGTGTGAAGACTAAGCATCACAGGACAAGCTCTGCAACTTTGGGACCGTCACCATTCGAGCATCAGGTCGCACACAAGTAAAATGGGAGTCCCAATACCTGCCCTCCCTAACATATAGCATTCTGTGAAGCCCAGAAAAGCCATGAAGGTTGTGAAGTCTAATAGAAATCTAGAGGGTTATTATTAATAATAAACACAAGACTAACACTCACTCACTCCAAAGGCATCTACAAACTCGACTTTTGACTCCCCTTTCTTCTTAAAACAGACATTCAACATCACTATTCCCTGATTTTCACTTGCTACAGACAAAGAATACAGGGCATAATACCCATGTGGGCAGCTCCCATGGCCACAAGGGAAGATTAGGACCTTTATCAAACTCCTGGCTGGGTATTTGGGAAAGAAGTTTTAAGAGCAAATCAACAACCTGGTTTTACACTCTAGTTCTCCCACGTGTTAGTCTGTAGAGTTTGGTCAAGGTATTTTATGTATTTAAGCCACAATTTCCTCATCAGAAAATTGAGGATGATACTAATTACTTCAAAGAGTTGTGAATATTGAAGAAATTATGCATATAATATATTTTAGCATAGTTCCTAGCTGATGATATTAAGCATTCAATAAATTGATTTTACAGCTTAGTATTTATAATATTATATATAATATTGTACCATAATATTATAATATACCATAATAATTATTAGTAGTACTAGTCCTTTCACTATTGTTTTCCTTATTCAACTTATTTTTCTCAACGCATAAGGAAAATATCTTTGCTACCTTTCTTGTGGCAAGTACCAGTGCCACAGTATGCAAAGATCATATGATCAGTTAAGCAGGGATTTTCTATATTCTGTAATATCATAGGTCTTTCTCGTTGAGCTGTCTGTCGTCTGCCTATAATGAAACAATAGGTACTAACTTGCTATTGAAACATCCTGAAACATTCTCTTCTGCAAGAATAATTGCTTCATTACCTTCAAAAACATGTCTAAATACAACGTTGATCAATTGTTATGGAAACATGGACTTTGCAGAGACCATTAAAGACATAGAATTAATCTGACCTGTGGAAAATTAGCTTGGAACCTGGGCTCTTCCATACAAATCTTCCCAAATGTGTTCTGGGTAAGCTCATCAGGTTTTGAAAATCCTCCAGGGAAAGATTCATGAAAATGTTCTGAGAGATACTCTGGTAACTGAATATTCTGGTAGCGGGTTCCATTAAGATTGATGCAGCCAGGAGGGTGTGTATCTAAATTAGTTTGATACTTAAGCAGCCCTCTAAAGTTAAGAAAAAAATAAAAACAAGGAGATGAAAAAGAGATTGAAATCAGTGAACACAGTACAAGAAAATAACCTTATTTTCTTGTTAACTTTACATAGCATTTATCCAAAAAAAATGCTTCTCATATATCTTACTTAAGAGCAATTGAGAAATTTTTAAACTTTTAATAAATTCTTTACTATGGAACTAAATCAAAAAATTTAGACCCCCCCACACACAAATGCCACAAATACATGGTAGAGAAAACACATGCAATCTTTCCAAATATTCTTGAATTTGACAGCCTTTACTTCAAGTCTATTAGGCATTCATACAATCACATACAAGTTTTCACTTCAATAAACACTATAATGATGAGTACTTTCACTATAATTTCAAATACAAATGGAAAAGTATGGGGATCATATTTGATTTGGCTAGGACCAGATAAAACAAGCCTTGTTGATTTACAGAGAAACGTTAAACAAACATAATAACAGAAACTGGAAGCTTGCATCTCCTGTGATCTGAAAACAATACACAGCAATCAGGCCCTAAACCTGCTTACTTTTCAATTTCTCCATAAACAGGACCACATAAAAGCCTCAAAATAATGAATCAGGAAGGAGAACTTAAAACCCTAAAATACGACTCTTATTATTTCATATTTTGTGAGATTTAAAATAACCCTTCAACTTTCTGTGCTCTTTATTTCTTATAAGGAGTTAAGTAAGATCTACCTCACAGGGATAATGCATGAAATCATAGATTATATAAAAAAATTTTTTTTTGCATAAGAAAATCTTGAAGAAAAAAGATTTTGAAAAGCATTGAAAATGTTTATTTTAATTTTGAGATATTAAAATTTTGGTTTCCAAAATTATTTTCCTCGTTGTCTGAGTGTGTTTTTAAATTACCCTTCATGCTCCCAAATAATCAATTTTAGTACATTTTAAAAGTACATCTTTAAGTTCACCACAGCTATAATTTTACAAATGATATTACAAGGATGATATTTCCAAACAACAAAAACTATAACAAGAAAACTGATACTAAATAGGTCAATGAGCTAGCAATGACTAAGGTAGTCTTTGGTGGAAGGTACCATCTACTCAACCTGATCATTCTCCCTTTTACCCCTTTTACTTATGTTCAATTCCCTTTCTCTCTTCACTTTATTTTACTTTCTTCCCTAAAACCAGTCATTATGAAGTCACTGGAGAGCACAGAGAACACGTCAGGAGGATCCAAGTAGTGGCTGTATTACATAACATCCATGGTAGACCACACACACATTTTTTTTCAGTAATGCAGTAGATATGGTCTAGGTATGGAATAAATGAATGCATATTATATAAATGTGAGCCAAGTACATAATCTTTTATAGAGTTCTAGTCATATAATACAATTGTGCCATTTTAATACTTGAAAAATACATTAATTTGATGCAGCTTTTATTACAAGTAATGAGTTACCCAAACCTGTTGCTCTTATTAACTATCCCAAGGGTAGTGGCTGATGGGTGGGCAGGCCAAAAATCTCGAGCATCTTCTTCTATTGGTTGTTAAGTTGAACAAACATTGGCATAATGCAACTGGCACTATCCTAGGTGGTGCTACAGATAGTCAGATCTGGCCCCTAACACCCCAAAACTTAAAATCCAGTTTAGAAGATATCTTTAGAGAAGCTGAACATAACTCAGACCACAAATAATAATTTGAGTAGAGTGATTTAATAAGAGCTTAGTGGGCTTCCCTGATGGCGCAGTGGTTGAGAGTCCGCCTGCCGATGCAGGGGACACGGGTTCGTGACCCGGTCCGGGAAGATCCCACATGCCACGGAGCGGCTGGGCCCGTGAGCCATGGCCGCTGAGCTTGCGGGTCCGGAGCCTGTGCTCTGCAACGGGAGAGGCCACAACAGTAAGAGGCCCACATACCGCAAAAAATAATAATAATAATAATATAAAATAAAGGGAACATTCTTATATTGTTGTACCTTTCCTAATTAAATGAAAAATCAGTTGAAAATGAAAAAAAAGAAAAAGATGTTAGTGAATGGTAAGCAGAGAATATTGCCAAGTTAAGACAGTGATGTGGCAGGGAGTTGGGGAAGGAGGCACATGGCCTATGTGGGAATAGGAACACTTATTACTAATTTTTTTTAGGTATATTGCATTATGTTCTAAAAGAGAGATTTTGAAGTATCTCTGGAATGTCTAGCGTTCTTCACTCATGAGAGATCAAGGATTTTATGGTGTATCAAAACACATGGTTGTGGACACTATTGTTTTTGCACTCATAAGGATTTCAAGATGTGCTTTCAACACTCAACAGTGTTTCCACAAAATAGGTTTCTTTCTTTCTTTCCTTTTTTCCTCACTAGGCATTATAGTTATACCACTATTTTTTAATGCCTGGCTGTGACAAAGTCATAGAAAATAATATAGTACACAGAATAAATCCTACCAGGTTAAAACATAGAAATCATAAGAACTTTTTACGGCAAAAGTTAAATATTACAAAACACTATGCCTGCCAAAAAGAGAATCACAAAATCATCTCTACTTTAACTGCAAGTTACACATTTTTAACAAATGCAGTGTTGCTTATGAGATCTTTATGTTTGTGGTGATTTTAATCCTTTTTTAAAGTAGAGAAAAAAAATCCTTGTCCCATGAGGAATCTATTTTTTACCTTGTATTCTATAACATACAAAATATTTCTTTTCTTTACAGAAAAAATATAACAACTTGTTTCTGATCATTCTTTTTACTTTGCTTCAAGTACAAAAAAAGAGCTTAAGAAAATACATCCAAATTCAATATTGCAAAACCCACTGGAATTCACTGGATTCTGAGGAATCCACTAGAATATACACTACTTAAGGTCAAAGATATGTCCTGTGCCTCTGTTTTTCTGGTGTCTAGAACAGTGCCTATAATCTGTAACAAGCGTTCGATAAATATTCACTGAATGGATTAATAAATGGCTAGAAGTATATAAACAATTTTTTGTTGTGGTTATTTTTTTTTTTTTTTTTTTTTTTTTTTTTTTTTGGAGTTGTGTGGCGCGGGCCTCTCACTGTTGTGGCCTCTCCCATTTGCGGAGCACAGGCTCCGGACGCGCAGGCCCAGCGGCCATGGCCCACGGGCCCAGCCGCTCCGCGGCACGCGGGATCCTCCCGAAACGGGGCACGAACCCGCGTCCCCCGCATCGGCAGGCGGACTCTCAAGCACCGCGCCACCAGGGAAGCCCTGTTGTGGTTATTTTTGAAACACGTGATTGAGGAGTCGCCCGGTTTTAACAAACACAGGAGTTAGTTTGAACTCATTCTAATTTCAATAAAGATGTCTAGACTTTAGCAAATGGCATTTAGTAAAATAAACCGTGTGTGTTCGTTCAACTTTGCAGGGAATAGCATTAAATAGGTCTGCAACTTACAGCAACCCTCTTCACCCTTGAGTACTGCAAAGTCCAACCTGAGATCTCAGTCCTGCCCTGAACCTGAGCCCATCCTAACCTAGGTAGACAAGTCATCAAAAGAGTCAAGCCTATCTGTTAGCAGCATCTAGAAATAGAGTGCTTTCCTAAACTAAGAATCCAGCGTGCCTCAGGGAAACCCTAAGCATCAGATACCCATCCAACCAAAGCTTCTACTCTCACCCCCACTTTGTGGGGTCTAGCCAGATTCTTGCCAGATACTTGCCTCTGCATTCTTTGCTGTGCTCTTGCTACAGATACCCGAGTGTACTCGCAACCTGCAGCTTGACTGGAGCACGTATTGTGTCTAGCTCTTGCTGGTGGTGATGCCCAAGGTATGAGACTGGGCAACACAGACAGGGCCATCATCATGGGTGTGTGACCTGTGTGCTCTCACGGGACCCTGATCTTAGAAAGGCACTGTAATTGGTTCAATGCTCTGTTGCCATCATCTTGAAATGCTTAATAATTTTCTATCAAAGGGCCCCGCATTTTCATTTTGCAGTGAGCCCTGCAATTAAGCACCCTGCCACAGACACTATGCAGCTGGCAAAACAAAGCCTTGGAGTCTAAGGACATAGGGTCAAGATCCCAACCCTCCCTAAGTGTGTGAAGTAAAATAGGTCATTTTAATACATTTTCTCAGCTGAAAGAGAGAGACAGTGCCTGTTACCCTCTGCTTCACAGGTATATAAAGGAAAGGACTCTGATCTCTTGGGAAGGAAAAAATGTGTAAGCATCTAATATTTGTTACTATTTCCTCTGCTTTCAGGCTTTACTAAAAGGGCAGTGGGAGAGAAAAGGATTATTCCACATTTCAGAAAAAACATTAATGTACTGAAAATATTTCTTACAATAAATTTATCCCTAGTTCCTTCTCCTTCCTCCCCAACTTTCTCACCCTGTACCTCTAGCCAGAACCACTTGTTATTATAAATAAGGTCCCAGGAGAAAAACTGAGGTTAAAATTATGTGAGAAAGTATTTGGGCTGAAGCTCACTACTTCTATCCTCAAACTGGGGAGAAAGTTAACTCACAGTTTAGAAGATTAAAAATTCATTAATAAGTATAACTTATAGCATAAATTAATTCATTTATATGAAAATGCTTCAAATATACTACACATCTCTGTCTAAACAAATGGCATCCTTATGGGAGAAAATACTGCACGATCTCAATTCCCACCCCTACCTGGCTTTCAGGATAAAATATCAGCAGAAATAAATAAATCATAAGACTTTAGTCAGGAATTATTACATAGAAAAATCATTTTTTACACAAGAAGGAAAATTAATCCTATGAATGGGAAATTAGAAATGCGAAAAAACACATACATGTCTAAAGATCATAGTTGTATAGAACACTATATTTATTAACATATGGAAAATATGTTAATGTTATGGGGGTGAATTTGAATTCCACATAACAAAGACTTAATTCCTCAGGAATTTTATTCACCCTATATATTTTAAGTAAAAAAATTAAAAAACAAAAAAAGTGAAAGAAGACAAATAAAAAGAGATGAAAAATTTTCCTCC